ACATATGTATATATATATATATATATATATACATTAACTGGTCTTTTACCTGGTTTAGTTAGGCCAATATTAAGTGTCGAAATTGTAATGATTTGCATATTTAATGTAAATATAAATTGTTTCATGAATTTATATTTTTTCTATTACAGTGAAAACCGCACTTGCTGGTAAGTGTATTTCATGCAATATTTTTAAAAGTCATTTTTCGAAAAATTTAATTAAATTCTTTGCAATTATTAGATAATGTGAAGTCTGTAATCTAAAAGTCTGTACATCTTAAATGAAACTAAACATCTCATTTTAACGCAGATAACGAATTTGATAGTCAGATATACCCATTAATGCATAATGGAAAGCTTAATATAGAGTCAACTATGCACTTTAAATGAATTTTAATGGCTGTAATCATGGGTTAAAAAAATTTTAAGAAAATATAATTATAATTATCATAAGCTATTTAATGTATTTAAGAATTAAGTTATTAAATAAATAATATCTTGAGAATTACTATAGGAATTCAGAAAAAATTCCTGATTTTCTAAAAATAGTGAGTAAACTGTAAGAATTAACTAAAACAATAAAAAAAAATTTAATTCTATAAACAAAAACACAACAATGCAACATTTTTAATTGAAAATTAAGATTTCTTCTCTTAAATAGAAAGATAAAATGAAACCATTATTAATTAGGAATGTAATGAAGGATACATTAACGAAAAAAAATGTCATTCGGTACATTCGGAACTAAAGGTACGAAATATTTTTCACTGCTTGCTACACTCAAATTCTTTTAAAATTGCATTGTTATAATTGTCTGCAAATGTAACGCGAAAAAAAAGCCTCCTTGGACAAGTGGTATTGCTGATGCTCGCTTTATAGCACGAAGGTCCTTCCTTAGCTTGTACTCTCTGTTCTTCAATATAACAAAGGCTTAAAAGCTGAACTCTGCATTGAGTACACAAGCTTGCATATAAAAGTGAAACAATATATAAAAAAAATATTTTTAAAAAATTGTCATCGCCGCAAGGTGATCACAGGTTACCCATTGGCAAAATGGTTGTTGTCTAATTTTTTTTGGAAAAGCAACTTTATTGTGTTCTCATCTTGGACATCTTTAACTGTTAATCCTGAGCTACTCAGTGCACAATTTCGCAGACATGTTAATCACCGTGTTAATCAGTTCGAACTCTCTATATTTGTGATATTTGAATTAGTATTGAAAATCATTCAGTTTGAACTATGGGTTAGAATTTCTGATTCTTAATCAAAACAATAAAAACAAAAATATCGTTCAAATGATGAAATTCCCTTTTGCTCAGAACTCAAGAAGTATTTATGGGTTCTCTCTGTTCCCATATTCCAAATATAAACTCACCAACTTAATGCATAACAAAATTAAAAGTGAAAAAAAGAATTCTAAAATTATAATCAAACAGCACGGTCACCATAGCAACGCATGTAATGACGACGCATGCTCACTGTTTATTATTACTCTTGATTATTGTAGTTGAAAAGTGTGAGGACGCCATGAAATCCAAACCAATATCCATTTTGCCAAAGGGTAATATAATTAAATAAATGTTGAAAAATAAATTATATTAGAGGAGAAAAGGACGTACTTACGCTAAACAACAATTTCTCGATAGCAGGAATACGAAATTGAATCGGCAGTTCAACGACGTTATAAAATAACATAAAAAATATGACGGACAATATATTTCAGTTTAAAACTAAAGTTTTCTTTCCGCAATATGATTACTTTAGTTATTACATTTAACGGTTTTATGTTATCTTTGAATATTTCCCATTCTACATAATTCCAGAAATTTTTTATTTAATTAATTTTATTGAAAATAATACTTTTCTGCCGAAATTATTGGATATTTTTTATGATTCTTTTAATGTAATGTTTTAAATGAATAAGTTAAAAAATGTAATTGCTAATAATTAACTGGAATTTTTAAAAAAAATTATTTCAATCCTTGACTAAGCACACAGAAGCTTGCTTAAGCAGTATAAGCTTAATAAAATAAGATTTATTTTCCTTTCTTATTAATATAGTTGAGAAAATTTGAATCTATTAAATTGCTTCGCATTTTTAGCTATATTTTTTATATTACGAAGTAATATACTCATGGATATTTCACCGGATAAAATCAAAGAAAAAGAAAAAAAATCTTGATTTCAGATTTTTGATGGAGGTTTGCTTTTTGGAGCTGCAAAAAATTAAATATGTGTTCTTAGAATATTGATATTTTTTAATTTTAATATTGTGTTCATTATTTGGCTGTTTTTCATTTTAGGCAACTTCAGAAAAATTCAAGTTTAATTGAGGAAAAAATTTAAAAGCAATATATAACGTGATTTTTTTGCAATTTAAAGAAAGGAATACTAAAATAAGTTCCGCTAAATAGTTTTTTGCAAACACGCAAAAAAGTTCTTAACTATTTATTGTGCATTAAATGAATAGTTACACAGAGCGACTTATTAAGAAATATGGCCTTTTTGAACCAAGTGGTTAAATTAGAAGGCGTAAAATGTTAAATAGGTATTGTAAATATTTTATAATAATTATTTGATTATTATAATATTTTATAATAATTATTTGATTATTGCATCATTTTATAATAATTATTTGTTTATTGCATTATTTTATAATAAGTATTTGATTATTTCATTGTTTTATATTAATTATTTGATTATTACAATATTTTATAATAATTATTTGATTATTGCATCATTTTATAATAATTATTTGCTTATTGCATTATTTTATAATAATTATTTGATTATTACAATATTTTATAATAATTATTTGATTATTACAATATTTAATTGTCAAATGTTAGATTTGCGATAATTGTGAAATATATGACATTTATGTGTTATTTTGTTCTGGGATGTAAAAATAGCACTTTTCCGAGACCTTTTAGTCTTCAAGTTCACTTTATAAATTGCTAACAACTTATTAACTGGATGTTTCATTCTAACAAAAGTTTATACATTACAATTTTCAAACTCGTTGTTATTAATAAGCTGTTAAATGGTATTAAATTCATTACTAGGAAAAATATTTCTAAATTTTTATTTAAGCATCAGCCTTATTTAACAGAATTTTCGAAAATTCTTCACATGTATATTTAGTTTTTTTTTTTGGAACTGTATTTCTCCGCTCGAATAGATACCTGCAAGTGACGTCACTCATGGTTAAATCATGGTATTTATTTATTCCACGATTCAGTAGCCAATCAGGTTCTATACACGCGCGTGATAACACTTCCAAATATCCAATTAAATCTGATCCGAAAATTGATTCAATATGATTATATACCTAGCATTATAGTTGCAGCTTTAAATGCCAAGCATAACCATGTGATTAGTTCTAACCGTGTAATTCTCGAGTAGCAAGTACCCATTTAGCCCCGAAGATTTGAATCTTGGTAGCTAAGGCCATGAATGCAACAAATCTTGTCTTGTAAGTTTCACATGATTATGGCCATTTCATAAAGTTTTATAAGGAGATATTTCGAAAAGAATATTATACGAATTTCAGTAATTCATCAGAATTAGGACATTTTGTGGTCAAAATTAGGGCATCCACCCCCTTGGAATAGGAACGTAACGTAGAATATGACCAAAGATTCGAAATTTTTTTGAATAGTCTTCAGAATGAGAGAAAAAGAGGTGTAATAATTGTTTTTCTTAAGCAAGAAATCTTTTCGAAGACATATTTATCGATGTATGCAGATGCTGGTTTTAAATGTAACTATAAGTAACAGATAATAAGTAACCAGTATATTAACAAGTTTTCAAGTGGAACTTTTTTATAGAAATGCATGCGACAGTTAAGGAAATTTGAGTAAATGAAAGTTCTTGAAGAGTGAAATAAGCTCTTACTTTTCTAAGTTATAAACTATTCATAACAATTCGTTATTTTTCACCAAAATGCCAAGAAGCATTTAAAATAACTTGAATACAAAAAAATCAAGAGCGGCAAGTATACGATATGCTTCACGATATATTTCAAGAAATGCAGCTTGACATCCATTCATTCATTTTCTTTCTGTTTCTGATAAAACAACGATAAAACAGAATTTAATATATATATATATATCTTCTATTGCGCGTATATGAAATTTGAGACTGTACAATAGTTTAAAATTATTTGAAAAAGATTTCAGAGCGAGAGAAAAGCTTAAATGATTTCAAGAAATTAGTCTTCTCTCGTCTGTTAGGTCTAAAATGGAAAATTCTTGAAAAATTCAAGATCATACTAAATTAATTTCTTCTTTTTGTTGACAAGTAGACAGGTGACAGTTTAAAATGAAAAATATCATACTATGAAATTCATCGCACAACACCTTTTTTAGTGTTTTCTTTTATTACATATTCTAATTTATTTATAAAGCAATTTAATTTCTTCTTTTCCTTGACGCGGTAGACAGGTAACAGTTTTAAATGAATTCAATACACGAAACCCTTTTTAGTGTTTCCGTTTATTATATATTGCCGAGCCTTCATTTACAAGGCAAATTAATTTCTTCTTTTTGTTGACGCGGTAGACAGGTAACAGTTTAAAATGAAAAAAGATCATACTATGAAATTCAACACACGACACCTTTTCTTAGTGTTTTCTTTTATTATATATTCTACTTCATTTATAGGGTAAATTAATTTCTTCTTTTCGTTGACGCGGTAGACAGGTAACAGTTTTAGATGAATTCAATACACGAAACCCTTTTTAGTGTTTTCGTTTATTATATGTCGCCAAGCCTTCATTTATGAAGCAAATTAATTTCTTCTTTTTGTTGACGCGGTAGACAGGTAACAGTTTAAAATAAAAAAAACATACTATGAAATTCAATACACGACACCTTTTCTTAGTGTTTTCTTTTAATATATATTCTACTTTATTTATAAAGTAAATTAATTTCTTCTTTTCGTTGACGCGGTAGACAGGTAACAGTTTTAAATGAATTCAATACACGAAACCCTTTTTAGTGTTTCCGTTTATTATATATTGCCGAGCCTTCATTTACAAGGCAAATTAATTTCTTCTTTTTGTTGACGCGGTAGACAGGTAACAGTTTAAAATGAAAAAAGATCATACTATGAAATTCAACACACGACACCTTTTCTTAGTGTTTTCTTTTATTATATATTCTACTTCATTTATAAAGTAAATTAATTTCTTCTTTTCGTTGACGCGGTAGACAGGTAACAATTTTAAATGAATTCAATACACGAAACTCTTTTTAGTGTTTTCGTTTATTATATATTGCCAAGCCTTCATTTATAAAGCAAATTAATTTCTTCTTTTTGTTGACACGTTAGACAGGTAACAGTTTAAAATTAAAAAGATCATACTATGAAATTCAATGAACGACACCTTTTCTTAGTGTCTTTTTTTTAATTATATATTCTACTTTATTTATGAATCAAATTAATTTCTTCTCTTTGTTGACACGGTAGACAGGTAACAGTTTTTGTTTATGGAGTTAATCTGATTACTTATACTTCTCTCTATTGAGTTACTCGGATCTTGTTTTTGTAATTTGATTATTATATATTTTTTAATGTAGATAGTTTTTTTTTAAATATTTCTGTAAGAAAGTATTAATATTTTTATTATTTTCAGATGCAGAAAACAAGCGTAAGAAGACTTTTTTTTTCCTTCTTTTTGTTAGTTGCGGTTTAGAAAAATTGATAATTTTATTCTAAAATGTAGTTCTAAAGCTGTTTGAGCCTAAAAATAACATCTTGGCAGTATAAAATTGACCAATATTTCAAGCTGCTAGAATGAGTTTAAATACGAACTGTGTTATGTATTTTAACGTTTTAAGTACTAGTGATTTTTTTAGATGAAGCAGAAGAATGTTGCGGGCTACAATAATCCATTTTAAAAGTGCATTAAAATAAAGGCATACTTAGGAATCTATTAAATAGTTTCGTGTTTCAGTTACCATACTTTTAAAAAAAAGTTTATTTCAGAAAAACATAAAACTTGAATGTCATTCTTTTTTTAAATAAAAAATTTTGTGAAAATTATGATGATTTTTCCGTGTATCGTTAACTGAAAAATAATGAAAAGAAGGAGGTTTTAAAATTGTGAAATTAGTTAAAGAGTTGAAAGATAAGATAAAGAAATTAGAAGAAAGAAGAGAAGATAGTGAAAATAATTAAATATTTTGTGGTTAATAACTGTTTAAAGAACTTTTCCATTATTAAAATACACATCATTAAGAAAACAATACGATAAAATGAAATGTAAATAAAAACAATTTAATGCTTAATAGTCATACAAAATGATCAAATATTTAGTATTTAAACCTTTTATATTTTAAAATTTGGTCTTATTAAATTTTCAGATACTACATAAAAATTGTAACCTACCTTCTTGTAATTTTTTTTTACCTTACTTGGATGCAAATAACTTAGATAGTAATTAAAATTGCTTTAAATATATATGTGTACAACAAATATGTTAAAATTTCTCAATTCGAAAAGGAGAATTGAAAAAATATTATTATTTCAGGAAATTAAGATCTCTAAATAAGTTATTATATGTTTAGTCGTGAGCTAAAATGATTTTCAAAATAATAATCTTAATAATAATAATTTGCAGCTGGATATAAGGAACTGAAATTAATAAAAAATTAATTATTCATTTCGTAATATTATTATTATGTTTATGATATTTTGCAATTTTAATATTTTCTTTGACAAGCATTTGCAGTTTCACAAAATATCTCAAATGTTTATTTAATTTTTTTCTGTGATTCTCAAGGTATATACTTTTTAAATATTAGACTGAACCAACAAGAATTTCTTTTAAAAAAAATTATTGTAACCCGTGGCTAAACACATGAAAACTTTTTTAATGCATTTAGTTCCATAAAAAAATTAACTTATGATTTTTCTTGTTACTATTGAGAAATTCGATTCAGATATTTATATTGACAAAATATATTTATAATCTTATGTCTTTATTTATCAGTTTATAATCTTTACGGAGGTAAGTGTTTAATTACAAAGTAGAAAGTATCTAATTGAGCATGGTTTAAAATTTCCTTATAGCTTATTAATGCTTTTTACCTTATAAAATTATGTTATTTCTTGGAGACAAAATTTTTATGAGCAGGGAAGCAAATATCTTTATGGTATCCGAATATCTTTGGTACCTCACTACCTTCTAATTTATTACCTTTTAAATATATAAATATATATATATAGTATTTCTTAGCTAAATAGGAAACTTATTAAGTGACTTGTCAGACATTAAAATCATAGATAAATAACTAAGCCAAAAACTAAAAAGTTTCCAAATTTCTTATATTTTCATTAACTTAATATTTTTCTAATGAGAAAAGCAAATTTTAAAAATAGAACTAAAATTTTTAGCTGTATTATGATTTTAATTGTATTGAAATTATTGTATTGCATTTGAAATTATAATGAAAAATAAAAATCCAGTATACAGGGCAGCCACAAGGGTAAGACCCTAAGAATAGTCTTTTTAGTAGCTTCAGATATGAAAAGTCTCAAAAATAGTTACCAGAGACATGAAACAGTTTCCCTCATCTAGCATNATATATATATATATATATATATTTCAAAAGTAGCGAGAATCATTTTTTTGCAGTAACTGCACTGAGCAGAGCATATTTAAAATTGCGGGATGCTGCATAAATATGCTAAATCTCTCTAATGATTTTTATTTCTACGCAAAAGGAAAAATGCGTATTCCTCTGATAATACTTTTTTTTTTCGAAAATATATCACTTTGCGTCAATTTTTTAAAAAGCTCTTTTTTTTTAAAAAAAGAAGCTCCTTTTTTAAATTTGTAAATATAAAAACATAATAGGGATCGGTGCTGGTACTTAATAAAATCCTTAGGTAAATTATTTTTTTTTAGTTTATTGTGAAAACTTAAAAAGCTAAAAATTAAATATTTAAAACATCACTCAGATTAATAATAATTTGAGTTTAAAAAAAATTATATAATTTTAAAGCTTATTTTTTTAAAAATTATAATCCAATTATTTGGAAGGATGTTATTCAAGTATTCCGCATTTTTTATTACAAAATAAATGTCTGATGATAAATAACGTATACGCATTTCATACGAATAAATTATAATTTTTATATTAACATCTTTCTTTCTTCTTTTATTAGATGACAAAGTTAGCGAAGGTAAACAACTGTTTCTCTATTTAATTTATTTACATATAATAAATGTTGCTGTCTTTTTTCCGGCTTCCAAGTTGGGTCATCTTTATTATTTTGATATTATTGACAACAGGTGACTGTTTAGTATGCTTTATAAAGTTTTTAAAAATCATCTTCTGTACCGAGAGTTAAGTTACGTTTTAACAATATTCCTGTGCAAAAATGTAGGAGCTTAGAATTTCAAATTTTCCAATGTAAACTAATTAGGAGTGACAGTGAGATGCAAACAGCGTTTTTATAGTTGATGTTTATCTTTAACCCTTTGCACTCGAGAGTGCCTCTTAAGCATCCTAAATTATCTAACACATTGAATTACCCAACTAATTAATTTATATTCTGAATTTTAAAAAAAAGCATTCATTAACAAATTTCAGAAAATATTAACATGACAGAATAGATTTTCGCTGCCTTCATATACCAAGCATGCTAATAATAGAACTAAATGGATGAAGCCAGTAGGTGATACTTTAAGAAATACTTGTTGATCAGTAAGTGGCATTAATTTGAGTGTTTTCTTACCATACTTGTATGGATTTTATGGGTAAAAAATATTTATGTAAAAAAGTGGTGTCACGGCATATTTTGCTTTCCCTCTATTGAATGCATCGTTTTTTAACTGCTATTTTACCTTTCACTGCATCTAGATTGTATCTAGATACAGTGAAAGGTAAAGTATCACTGTAAAAAGGTAAAAAATCACTGTGTCTAGATTTCATATCCAAATAAAAATTTTATTATAACTAATTCATCATGGTAGATACAACTATCTGGGCTCCTTCGAAGTAAATCAGAATATTAAAACACTTGAACTACAGTTTCGTTTATTCTTGAAAAAAAGAACTGTTCTTTTGTAAGTACGCTAGGCATAAATGGCTTAAAACATTTGTACTACCATCTTTCATTCTCGAAAAAAGATCTGTTTTTTTTTTAAAAGTACGTTAGGCATAAATGGCTTAAAACATTTGTACTACCATCTTTCATTCTCGAAAAAAAGATCTGTTTTTTTGAGAGTACGTTAGGCATAAATGGCTTAAAACATTTGTACTACCATCTTTCATTCTCGAAAAAAGATCTGTTTTTTTTTTAAAAAGTACGTTAGGCGTAAATGGCTTAAAACATTTGTACTACCATCTTTCATTCTCGAAAAAAAGATCTGCTTTTTTGAAAGTACGTTAGGCATAAATGGCTTAAAACATTTGTACTACCATCTTTCATTCTCGAAAAAAAAGAACAAATGGATTAAAACACTTGGACTACCACTTCTTTCATTCTCGTAAAAGAGAACTACATTTTTAAAAGAACGATAGGCATAGATGAGTTGAAACACTTGAACTACTACTTATTTCAATCCTGAAAAAAAGTACTGTCATTTTAAAAGAAGGATAGGCATAAATGGGTTAAAACTCTTGAACTACCTCTTCTTTTATTCTTGAGAAAAAGAACTTTCCTTTTAAAAGGAAACTAGAAATAAAAGCAAAGGTGCCAACTTGCTCCGGACATGAGATAAATATTTTCGAATGGTAATCTTTTAGTGCATAATTCTTGGTTTAGTATATTCGATTTATAGGATATTTGCTGCCCACTACTTCTAAATTGTTCAAAGGGTTATGTCATGCACCACTATGTTACTGTTAAGCGGTGTTAAGCTCTTTAAAAAGTTAGCAAAATTAACCGAAAGTCAGCACGCTTTGGTCTGCTGTTCTCTACCGTATTTTAAAATATATTGTCGAATCCGCAGCAGTTGGCATCTCCTTAAAAGGGTTAAGGCACTTGATCTACTACTGCCTACATTCATGAAAAAAAAAGAACTGTCCTTTTAAAAAGACCCTAGTCGAAAATGGGTTAATGTAACAATTATTCCTTTTTTTTTTTTTTTTTTTCTTTTNCTTTTTTTTTTTTTTTTGCTTTCACTATAGTTTTTACATAACTAATATTAGTTATTGAGTATACTTGCATGGCTTTTCGTACAAATTAGATTGTTGCAAATAAAAATAGGGAAAAAAATCAGTAGCCTGCTTTCTAATAAATTTAAAACAAATTAGTTTGGATATCAATTTTTTCTTCATATTCTGAGTGTCACCACGTTGAAAATCTCCCTTATGTGCTATATCCACTCAATTCAACATTTGAAAAACAAACTAACATCAGAAAACTGTTTACAAAGCACAGCTTTCAGCAAAGCATATATATATACAGCTTTGAATAGTATTTTTTAAAATTTAACTTAAAAATCAATTGTATATTTTTCTACTAACCACAATATTTTTTTAAATCAACTAAAAAAGTGGTAAGCACATAAAGCTCTCAACTCAGACTATGCGCAAATTCTCTAACATATGTATTTCATCTCAGTACTTTTTAGAACAACAGTAACACTACTGTTTAGAGCAATGGGTTGAAAGTTCTTTTTTATGTAAACTATTTAAATTGATAGCCTATCAGTGTATAAGTTCTTGATAAATAAGAAATATATATTAGATTGTGCATTGCGCAAAATGAAATGCAGACAATCCCGAATATATTTCGATCTAATAATCGTATCTTCAAGTTCTGGGAGTCAATGGCTCGAGAGTGTGGCCCCAGATATGCTAAATAATTTGTCCAGACGATAGTTGAAGTTTCGAAATCAGACAAAAAAACTTACTTTTCGAAAATAAACATATCTATTTTTTGACGGATTTGAATTTCTGATCCCTGAAATATCGGGGGTAGCTGCAATCAGGGAAACAGGGTCTCAATAGTTTGCTCAGGAGACCGGTCTAAAGTTTGGACCGGTCTAAAGTTTGGAATGTTACTATTAATGTTAGTGTATTTCACCATATCTCGAGAACGTTTAAAAACGAAAAATTGTTGCACACAATTATAAAATTTGTTTATGGAAAGATAATTTCATGCAATTTTAGTGTGTAATTTCTAGTGTGTAATTTTAGTGTATAATTTTAGTGTGTAATTTTAAATGGAACATACAAAATTTGTGCGAAATCGCCTCAATGGGCCGTGATAGCCTGGTCGGTAGGGCGTTGGGCCCATGTCCGAGAGAACCCTACCGACTGCAGACTCTGCGTGTAATAAATGGTGACAGATGCCCGTTAAATCTGTCGAGTCACAAAGTCCTCCATATTCCCATAACAAATCAATACCTCTGGGGGTACTGGATTGGAGATCGATCGTTCTCTGATTTAGATCAAATTTAAGAATCTGTGGATGAAAGAATGGATGGATGAATGGGTCCGCCCTATAAACAGGTGTGGCAGAAGTCAATTTATTGCACATAGATGGCGCCACTGGAAAACAAGAACAATCGCACCCCTCTGCCTAAACAGGCATTCGAAACCAAGTAAGCAAGCAATCGCTTCAAATCTCAAAAAAAGTCGTATTCATAACTAGTGATCGTCTGTACTATTATTTAGCATATTTTAGGTCACTCCTAAAACCATTAAGATTGAGTTCTAGAGCATGAAGATTCGATTACTAGATCGAAAGTCATTTGGAGAGGACCGTTTATTTTATTGAGCACTGTACATTCTACTCAAACCTTGAATACTTTAATATATAATGATAATGTATTACATTAATAAGATATTATAATAATAATATAATAACAATTTATTATAATAACAATATAATAATAATAGCAATTAACATAAAATATAATATAATACAATCCATTAAATTTTAATGCTTTTTATTTCAGTTGAAAATACTCTTGAAGGTAAGATTTTGCTTTGTTTTTTAAACTCATCATCGGTCATTAATCGATGGTTTCTCATAGGACCATTCATTGGGAACGATAGAAACGAAAACACGACGAATTCGGGTCCGCAAAAAATAACAAATAATGACTTGAAAAATTAAGAAAATCGAGAAAGAAGTAATTTGATAAACAAATGTTCAAATTTCAGATAAGTATAAAAAAATTTTAAGCGAAAAAATTCTATTCTTACAGTATAAATATTTACGTGTCAAAAAAAGATGAATAAACACATTTATTTATTTAAGATATTAAGAAATTTTTATTTGAATGCTCTTTTCTTATCAGCACAAATAATAAATTTTCGACGCGTGTAACAGATTGCTGTTCATTTTCCGTAAGTTAGTGAGAATGCAGAAAGCTCTTCCATTATTTCAGAGCCTTCCGTAGATACTGGTTATGGATCTGCGTTTTGCCATTTTCATTGATGTCACTTTGCTTTTCTGTAGCTATTCTTTGAATCGACTACACGTTTCAATATTTTCATCTACTCATGCATGAACATCAAATGTGATGTTTTAAGCGTTTTCAACTAATTGTAACTAATCCTCATTTTCTCTTTCATCCTACGAATCTGGAGTCATTGTGTTTCTTCTCGAAACGCAATAACATTTTCGAAAATGTCGTTAGAATTTTCGAATGATAGAAGCGGGAATCTGTCGCCTCAAAAACGTTCTAAATGGGTTTTATTAGCTTTATGAGAAAAGTATTTGTGACGGGACCGTTAAACCACGATGATATATGCGGAAAAACGAATGAAGCGGAAAGCGAATGAAGCAAAACGAATTGTAACTAATGCTCATTTTCACTTTCATCCTAAGAATCTTGAGTTACTGTGTTTCTTCTCGAAACGAAATAACATTTTCCAAAATGTCGTTAGAATTTTCAAATAATCGAAGCAGGAAAAATGAAAATAGATTTATAATTAGAATCATAAAGTTAATAATTTTATTTTGGGACATTTTGTTTTTCGAGATTAAGAAAAATGTTTTTAGGATAGTGAAAATGTTTTTAGTGAAAAATAGTAATTAAGAAAAATATTTTTAGTGAAGAATTGTGAATAAGAAAAATGTTTTTGGATATTTAAAATTTCATGCGTGTATATTTGACTTACGAAGGAAAAAGCTGAAAAGAGGAAGAAATAGAGAAAAAAAGTAAAAGCATTTTTTAAAAAAAATTTTATTACTAAAAAGGGTAGGAATAAAGTAATTTTAGCAGTATATTTTTTATTTACGGTTCTTCTTGTGAGGATAAAAATTGTTTAGATCAGCAGTATGACGTGGAACCCTAGGGTTCCGTGTAAGGGTCACAGAATTTTCGGAACCTTTTTTTAGTCTGTTATGATTTTTAAGCTTATAATTATATCTAATCAATAGTTCATTATTTATCAAATACTTTGATTATTTTTATGATGTTATTAAAATTATAAGCCATTGAACGAAAACAAAATTTTGAAAATAATTATTCTTTCAAATAACAATGCTTTGAATACATTTTGAAAAGAATATACATTCATGAAAAATTGCGTGAGTATTTCTCATCGAACACAAAAACATTTTCATTTCTATTTGAAAGAAAGCTCAGAATCAATTCAAAATGCCCTAATTCTCAACGTTTGAAATCATAATTCAGCTTCATTTTCAACTCTTGCATATTCCAAAAACTACTTAAAAACAAAGTCAGATGGAGATCCTAATCAGGAATACCACTGTTTGACACAAAATTTAATTTTAAAACAATTAATAATGAAAGGATGAAAAAAATTCATTCTTATCATTTAAATATTTAAAAAATGATTCGTAGTCATTTTGGTCATTCGTTGTCATCCAGAATCATTCGTAATCAAAATAGGTTTGGTTAAAATGTACACTAATAAATTATTTTTGAAGCTAGGGTTATTCTGAAAGAAAAGTGATAATTTAGGGTTATCACTTTATATATATATATATATATATATATATATATATACACAAATTAACATGAAAAACATGAATAAAATAAAAATAAAAAACTAAATGGTAGAGAAACAAGAATGGTATAAGCAAATAGTCGTTGTCAAGACACATCTAATTGGGGAGAACAAGTTTTCTTACAGAAACAAATTTTTTGAAAGATTTTGCGTGGCAAAACTGTTGGCACAATGCAAAAAATTTATGATTGAAACTTTTAGAAAAGGTGGCATATTTACTTATGCGAAATTCAGATCAATCAAATTGATGTATTGAGCTTTTTTTAGTTTTAATACAATCAATTTTCAAAGACCGTTTATAGGTTTACAATAATTACATTAGAATGCTTTCTTAATAATAATGGTATTGAAAAAGAATTAAAAAGCTTTTAATTTCCTTCGCTCATTTAGGAATGCAATTTTTGCATGGGTAAAAAGGATATAATTTCTAAAAGCTTCAGAAATGATTTTTCAAATTGTGCTAATTGTTTTGCCATGTAAAATGTTCCAAACATTTGCTGCTAAAGGAAAATTTCTTTTCTTAGAATTAGTATAGAAGTGTTTCCTAGTTTCTTTCAAACTCTGTAAGTTGCAATTTAAAAGATATAACTAAAAATGAAATTGCGCAAAGTAATCCGGGTTTAGGGAACATATTATTCAAGCAAAATTATGGAATTAAAAATGCTTAATCCGTGCATATTGTAAATTACAAAAATTGAAATTTTTTAATAATAACTGAGCTTAAGACAACTATAGTTTGGCTCCAGTTTATACTAGAAAACAAATAAAAAAAACACCTTAAAATGCTCTTATTTAAAAACTTCTATGGACCCAAATTGTAGAAGAATAAGATATATAACAAGTTAATGAAGAATATGTGACATAAGAATTTAAAAATTAATTTAATTAAAAATTTTACAAAAATGTATCTACCAGTTTGAATTACAATGGTTTTTGCTCCTTAATGTTTTGAGTTGCTGTCGTGAAATTATTTAATATTATAAACTATTAATTCATTCTGATACCACATCATTATTTGTTTCAAAAGAAATATTGTGATGGATGATGTTATATTTCAATTAGAAAAACAAACAAATGAAATATACCTTTTTTATACATGTTTTATATTTTTTTTATGTCTGATGTTTTATGCTTTTTTTTACATTTTACTTTAATGCTTAACATTTAAAAAAATTTTAAAATATTCACACATAAAATTAGGATTCTTATAAATAAATTGATTTTTGTAGATGCTGGAAATCAAAGCAAGTATACATTTCATTATGTGGAAAAACAAAATTTTTTTAATTGACAAAAAAATTTAATACAATGTCGGTTTGTTAATTTTTTTAATACCACCAGGGTTTCCACATTCTAGAAAAAATTAAAATTGGTAAAAAAAAAATCGAGGATACAAGTTGTTTGAACTAATTACTATCACCGAACATTGCTTGAATGTTAAATATATGTTTTTAACTTATGCATCTGAATTCTAACAATTGACTTAAAAGTTGAAGCATTTATGAACGAGTTATCATCACTTTTTAAAGTTTTTCCAGATTGTGGTCACCCTAACTTACACAACCCCCCCCCAAATGCTGTGCGAAGCATGGTGGTAGCGGATTCGAATCCCGCTGCTGCCCTGGATAGATCTCCGTGCTGTCCTACTCAGTATTGTGCTCTCCGTCTTTCTACTTGATAAAGGTTTAAAAGCCCAAAAGCTTGCAAATGTATGTTGTAATAATAAACCAAATCTAGTGTGCTAATTACATAGAACTGCTTATAAGCTCTTGTTAAGTTGAAGAACAGAAAACACAAGTAAAAAAGTGATATCACAAAGATACAACCTGAATTCTATCAGAATTCGAACCCGTTACCTCCACGCTGCAGAGCGTTTGATAGAACAGCAAGTTCGCTCCACCAGGAAAGCCCCAAGAAATGCCTTATTGCTGACATAGGCAATAGCTTTGATTTTTTTTACTAGTAACTATTATCACCGTTAAAAAGTTTTTCAAAATAAAATGCAAAAATCCTGAAATTTTGCTCGGGCAAATTTTCCCGGATATGGCTTGGAGAAGAAAAAAGGATGTTTTTTACTCTTCTCTGAAATATCTGTCCATATAACTGTGGGAGAAACATTGGCCCACCTAATATGGTGCTCTTGACAGAGTGGTCATCCCATCTGCCCTTCTGATACCCAAGTCTCGCAGTGGACTAATCGGAAAGACACGGTTCCCAGTCGAATACCGAAGTCAAGCATCACTGGCTGCAGTCGTTGTTGTTGTTAATTTACGTCGCACTAGAGCTGCACAATGGGCTATTGGCGACGGTCTGAGAAGCATCCCGTAGGATGATCCGAAGACATGCCATCACAATTTTGATCCTCTGCAGAGGGGATGGCACCCCCACATCGGAGCCCGAGTTCATTTGCTCATAATGATCACCGATTAATGTTTATTAGAATTAGGTGTTAAAAAGTAGAAATTATTAGCAAATAGATTAAAGAAAGAGATAGAAATGCTATAACCATCGCCGTCTGCATTTCCGTCTCACCTCTGATGGCTGAAGACGATTCGAGAAATAATGCACAGCTCTATTAGAGTCAGGGGGACTAGCCAAGCTGTAGCTTAACCTTTTCTGTAACAGAAAATTTCGCTCAAACATTTTACCAGGCAACACATAAGCGAGTGCAACCTTCGATTTTACGATTTAATCATAGTCATATGGTCTAGGGAGGGGATGGGGAAAATTTTTTGGTCGAGGGCGAAAAATCGAGAAAAAAAATTTTTGGTGGGCCGAGTTAAAACTTTTAAAATAAGAAAAACGATATACAAGCTTTAATTTAAATATTTAATGAGATGAATGAAATTGCTGTTTCATTTTTAAAAGTTCCTTATATTGAGGTTCGAAGGGAGATGTGCTTATTTTAAGGAACGAGGCTAAATGTTTGTATGTTAGTCTACTTCTGAAATAATTTTTTCCAAGGTTCATAGTTGTTCACATATCTAAGATGAAGCAAACATAGCACTGATTACCTGGGTATGAGATATTAAATTTTGGAAACTAACTTTTAGTAATGATTTGCAAAACTCAAACTCTGGGATGTTTAGAAACAACAATAGTATGCAATCTTCCCATACTCAATAAATAATGTTAGAACTCGCACCGGCAGAAAAATCAGCTGGTTGGAGCTTGAAATGCGCTGTATGTCACATGTGAAGCACAATTCACCTATGTTAGATTCCATATGTCTGATCATCGAGAAAGACAAACGCTTTTTAGAGCTAATCTGCGGCTATTCTATAAAGAATTTCTGCTTTCAACATTTTACCAATTGAAGCTGTCTGTGCTAACTATTTTCATCAATTCCACCTGTAGAAATAGTAAAAACGTCATCAGTACTTTGTTAAAAAAGAAAAGCTACAGAGTAGACAAAATGGTGGATGTATAATGTATCTTGTTTATATTCGCCACGGATCGGCAAGTGAAAATTCTATCCGCGGGCCGGATAAAACCTTCCGATGGGCCACAGTTGGCCCGCGGGCCGTAGTTTCCCCATCCCTGGTCTAGGGCATTAGGCCACGTAGGGGACCTTTACCTCTCCATTTTTTACCTTGATCACTCCATACCTTACTTTACCTTGAAATTGTTTTAATCTTTCATGAATTAGACCTTCCGAAAATGGTTAAATAATCAAGTCAAGGCTATGTCTGATTTTCGCTGGAAGTCGAACACGAACTTGCCATCATTTCATATTTTCCTTACAATGTATTTCAAATAAAATTAAAATAAATACGGATAAATTAATATTGTGTGGATATGTAGTATATGATAATTTTTTATTTCTTAATTTTAGTTGTTGGCGTAATATCCAGTAAGTGCATTTAGCTGTAGATAATGTAAACATATATAATTTAATATTTTTAATAAAAAGAAATAAATCTTACAATATTCTTTGTTTCGCAAAATGTTTGAAAAGAAAGAAAAAAATACTAAAAGCTTACAATTCGTAGCATTAAATATCTTTGATTATTCTTCATATCTTTGCTACAAATATCTATAATCTAAATATATTGAAGTCATTGCCGTAACATTAAAAAAAACCAAGAGTTAAAAAAAGTTTTCTTTACTTTTTTTTTAAAAAAAAACTGAATAATTTATATACAGTATACTCTTGATATATCGAACTTCAATATTTCAAAAACCTTGTTAGGTCAAAAAAATATTTTTTCCCTTAATATTATATACCCACCAGATGCTAATTTGAAATCCTATGTCGAAGAATGGCTTCTTAAAATCTTGATATGTCGATTTTTTTTCGAAACAGAAAATTAATTTTTTCGGAAAATTTAATATGGAAATTTATTGTATGCCAACCACTTTCTATTTAATGTATAATTATTTTTGTCTAACTTTTAAAAATAAAATTATTTTTGCTGTATTTAGACTTATAGTCTACTATCATAACATACATATTTACATACCTGCCAACTTTTACTCTTTCCGAGAATGGATTTTCAGAGTGGTTGTAAAACAATAAACGAAAAACAATCTGACTCCAAAATATATTTATATTTTGATCCCGTTGATATTCGCTTGAGCAAAGATTATTATGCTTTCATATATTTATTGTAATTATTTATATGTAGTGGTGGTCAAACTCATTTATAATTATCATTATAATTCAAAAAGTTAATTGGAATAACCTGAGTATTGCTACCACTTTAAATATGAAAATAAAATTTTCCGGAAAATCCGGAAGAGTTGGCAGTTATGAATTTATTTGTAGTTATTCTTTTGTTTCATGACTGTACTTAATAGAGTAATATTTTAGAGTGTATTTTTCTACTTCTTAGAATATATTTCAGGGTAAAAGGGGTTTGTAAATTTTAAAAAGTGGTAACGAAAATCAAACAAATGTCGATATTTTAATATCTATGTAACCACCACTAAAAATTGTTTTCCAAAGAAAGTATATATGCATGAAAAGTCCCTCTTCTAAACCATTTAACAAAGTGATATATTAAAACGAGAAATATCTTCTAGCTTTAACCTTAATTTACTACCACTACTACTATGAGTTTTTCAAGGACCATGGTTATCTCTAAACCGAACTTGTTATCTCTAAAACTCACTATCTCGAAATTTTTTTAACGTTCATTGAGATATCGAGAGTATACTGTATTTAAAAGTAATTGTTGCAAGTATTCATATTTTGAAAACTTTCCCGAAGTATTTAATTTCTAGCAGTAAAGGCAGTAAAATTTATGATTTTCTCTTGAATTTAAAATAATCAATAATTTTGATTATATATATATACCACAACCGGTAGTAAAGTGATACACAACCGGTAGTACCATATATATCACAACCGATAGTAAACCATATATACCACAACCGGTAATAAACCATATATACCACAACCGGTAGTAAAGTGATACAGAAAAGTGGCAAAGAAATTTGAAGAAAAAAATCGTTTCTGCTAATTCTTAGCTACCAAAGTAGATTAGTAAATTAAAAGATATGCATTTAGATGTCTAATTGTGCCATAGATAAATATCTAATTGTGCCTTGACATAATTGTGTATCTATATTAAGTATTATTACATATATCTACCATTAATCTATGATTTAGTCAAATTGATGACATCCGCCAACTACCTTCTTTAATTTTAATGTTTATCACGCCAGTTGTCTTAGTTGACCGAGAGACCATCACATTGGCAGTGTGTGTTGGGACTGAAGTCTCACCTCATATTAATTCAAGTATATTTAGAATTTAAAAAAAGTCACTTTAACACCAAAGATAAAATTGAAATCTTTAAAATTTCCAACACCCTCATGAATTACAAAAATACTTAAGTCGTTGTTGGGAAACCATTTCATTTTAATAGGTATTTCTTTTAATTTTTAAGAGCCGTGTTAATCCTGTGTATGCAATGCTTTTCGATTAATTTGAATTATTAATTGTTAAATTAACTAAATAGTGAATTATGTTTGGTATTAAAAAGTAACCTATATTTTATGTTATCTTGTTTAGAGACCATACAAAAAAGTAAATATGAACTTTTATAATTTTCCTCATTAACCTTACTAATTAATATTATTTTGACAGATTTAAGATTTTATTCAGAATATAAATCCTATTACAGCTCATGCTATAAGGCATTAACCCTTTGACTTCAAATTTTTACTAAACATATTTTTGATAATTTTTTCATTATTTTATATTAATTTAAGTCAAAGTAAGTGAAAAATATTATATTTAGCATCCTAATAGTTAATTTTAATAAATTATACTTATGAAATATAACATGAAATTACGATATCTTTTTCTGCGTTTAAGGTACAAATTCTGAGTTGAAGCTACTGCTCAATTCCAAACACGAAAGCATTTCTTATGCACTTTGCTTAACAATGAAAACTTTAAACTCATTTATCTCAAAACTTGATTTTTTGAGTTGTGCCGCTATTGAAGCCCATGAGCGAAATGTCTAATATTATCAGAATTTATTAGGTGATAATTAATAACCTCAGCTTGTATTTCGATATAAAATACAAAATTGTTTTAGAATACAACTCTTCAGTCAAATATATATATATATATAAATTGGAAATACATTATTGTACCTAACTTGTATTCAGAAGCAATAGTTCATTCTTCTTTTAATTCATTGCTTTAGAGTTCAAACAACGCTTGAAAAATATTTTTAAAAAAAACTAATCGTAAAATTCTGATTGCAAAACTGTATGCGTTGAAGTACTACTACTGTTTTAAACGTCGTGGAAAGATGGAACATAAATATAAAATATAAATTACCAAGCAGTTTTTAAATTTCAGTTTTGCGTTAATTATACTTGGATCTATTTCTTTCAAACATTTATAGAAATAAATTTCATTACCAGTTGTTATCCTTCATAAGTATGCGAACCCTGTATTAATGAACAATTCTCACTCATATTTCAAATATAATATATTTAATATAAAGAAAAGAAAACTATATTGAGATATATAATGTTAGTAAGATACATTGTATTTATTTACAGTTCAAGAGATCCTTGGATTAACACGTAAGAAAGCTTTCAATAAATATTTATCTACAAATATATTAAGTAATTATTAGTGTTTCAAGCTTAATTTCCCCTGTTCTAGTTTTGAATAACGCCTTTTTATGCTCTTTTTTTCATTAGTTTTAGGTATTCAGATATCTTAATAAATATAGGAGTTGAACTAAAAATACTAACTCTATGTAAAGCATACTAACTCTATGTAAAGCATCTAACTCTATGTAAAGCATCTAACTCTATGTAAAGCATATATCGTTTTGTAGGTGACGTTTTAGAAAATGGCAAAGCTGCTGAAAAAATTTGAAAGGTTATGCCTTAAGCTTTAATAGAAATAGGGTCTATCTCACCCAAGCAAAATTTGTATTCGCCAAAACGAGTGTAGAAAGTTCAAAGCTTCATTCCTTTTTTCAGTGCCACTATAATTAAAAAATAAATTTTTATATAAATAACGCAATCTCTTGGAGTGAATATGAAATTGGTGTTGATAAAGCTATTAAAAAGTTATCAGTTCTTTTTTTCTCATTTTGGACGATTAGAATTTTGCATGAGTAAATATGAAATCCTAATTAAATGATGCAAGCATAACGGTTAAAATTGTGCCAACAGTTTAGAAATGTACAATGCCTCTACCTAAACATTTGCTATTTAGAGCTACTTTACCATAATTTGATCCATAACTTTTTTCTTCAAAAAGTACTTTAAAAAATTAAAATAGCCAGAAAACAAAATAAGGAAAAGATATAATATTGTCATCAGCTCGCACAATTACATTCGCAAACCGGAGTGAAAAATACATCAAAACAATAGTGACGGGAGCACCCAAAAAAATGAAACGAAAATAGAGCACATTAAGTAAAAAATACAAGAAATAAAACATATCAAGCGAGAAATAAGAAATTAAAATGTACGAAAAATACAGAATTTATATGCATGCACTGAGTGGCCAAATTATTATGACCACCTCAGACTTTTATGCAAATGAGTTATTGCGTCATAGCGCTGCCGCTAGAGGGCAAGATAACTATAACACTGGAATGCTGGACAAGTGAGTCATCAGTTATACTGTGTTGCTTGCTCAGATATGGGAAAGAAAAGTGATTTAGCTGAATTTCAACGTGGAATAATTGTGGGTGCGAGATGTGTTGGAACGAGTATCAGCAAAACGGCTGCACTTGTGAAGTGTTCTGGAGCAGCAGTTGTTAATGTGTACAAAGAATGGACAATCAAGCAAAAAGCAGGGTATCAACATCAGAATTGTGGTCGTCACAGGGTACTGAATGCTCGATCAGAGAGAAGGCTGGCCAGGGTTGTGCAGCGCTACAGGAGAGCAACAGTGCGACAAATTGCAAGTGATCTTAATCAAGGAGCAACTGTGAACGTCTCTGAACGGACTGTTCGACGAACATTGCGCAGTATTGGGTATGGAAGCAGACGACCTGTTCGTAAGCCTCTACTGTCTGCTTTAAATAAGCGCAGATGTCTCCAATTTGCAAAGGAGCACAAACATTGGACAGTAGATGAGTGGAAGAGGGTCATGTGGTCCGATGAATCACGATTTCAAATGCATCGCGCAGATGGCACGATGAGAATATGCAGAAAACAGCACGAAGGCATGGAACCCAACTGCATTGCCACGACACTTCAAGCTGGTGATGGCAACGTTATGGTATGGGGAATGTTCTCTTTGTATTGTATGGGTCCTTTAATTCCCGTAACACAACGCCTTAATGCCCAAGGGTAGTAAAGTATCATCGCATATCAAGTACATCCGTTTAAGTGAATGGTGTACTCTGGCGAGGATGGATACTTCCAGCAGGACAACGCTCCTTGTCATAAAGCTGGCATTGTCCTCAGATGGTTCGAAGAGCATGACGGAGAATTTAACTTGCTTCGTTGGCCAGCACAATCCCCAGATCTCAATCCAATTGAGAATTTGTGGGATGAAATAGAACGGACTCTCAGACAGATGGATCCAGTACCATCAAATTTGCAGGAATTGGCAAGTGCAGTTCAGCGAGCATGGTCTAGCATACCATCTACCACCTACCAACATCTCATAGAATCCATGCCTAGACGAATTAAGGCAGTAATACGCGCAAAAGATGGCCCCTACAGCGTACTGAAGGGGTGGTCATAATAATTTGGCCACCCAGTGTATTTATATATATATATATATATATATATATATATAAAGATATAAATAGCAAAAATTAAATAAAAATATAATAAAAATTTTAATTCAGCAGCAATCAGCATNCTTGTGTGATTCGAGATAAACAGGTTTGACTGTATATATATATATATATATATATAAAATCTATAAAGCGAGTAGCGAATATAAATGAACTTACACTTTCCGGAATCTTTCTAGTATGATTTAAAATACTGTCGTAATAAGTTTGTCTTATTACAAAATATGAAATCAGAAGACCAAACAGAGGTTAGAAACGTAAATAGAGGGATTTTTTACGGCGCATTCTTATTGCAGTACAGAAGCACTTTTGATTTGTTAGTTACTTTGGATTGGCCCAAAAATACTATTATACTATATATATTATATACAATTATATTGGATAAATTAAGGTTTATAATTAAGAAGGTTAATGTTTAACTATACAATTTTAATGATATAAGAAAATTAACATTTAAAAAAATACATGATTTGCCCGGTTTGCGCAGATTTTTAGCCAATGATTTACCCGAGTTAGATTTGCACATGGTAAATTTATAAATTTAATTAACAAAGAAGTGTTTTGTAAATTTATTAATAATAATAACATACAATTAGCCTAACGATTTTATATAGAACTTAACTACATTAGTAAGGTATCCACTGTTTTTAAATAAAATTTTGAAAAAATTTGTCGATTTGTTTTTTTGAATAAGTAAACATTACAACATATTCCTTTAGTTCGATTCATTTGATCAAAAAAGGCATTTAAATAAACGTTTTTAGAAACCTTAGAATTCCAAGTAATTAGTTTATTTACATTAAAATTAAAATAATTTCTTTTTTAGTATAAATGCAGATATTTTCTTCTATTTTAAAGCGTGAATCCAAAAAATTTAAAATTAATATTATCATCATGATTATTAAGAAAATTAATTCCTAGGGGAAAATAATAGTTTTTAACAAAATTGTATAATCTTGAAAATGAAAGATAATTAGATCATCAATAACTCAAAAAACAAATTTAATATTAAGAACATAATTTTTTTTATTTTATAATAGTGTAAAAATAAGTTAGCTAAGAGAGATGAAAGATTAGATCCTTGTGGTATTCCATAAGTTTGAATAAAAATATGCTATGCTCAAAATATGTTATTTTCTTAATTAACTCTCTTTTCATTTATCTTTATTTTATTATTCTCCTTGTTTTCTCTATATCTTTTAGCTTTTTTATGAGTTCGATATACCTGCAGCCTATGCTCAGTAAATAAAACTTATTATTTAATTAATTTTCTTCGTTTTTTTCTATTTTCTTTTAATCTTTTTGTCTTTATTTTTCTATATATATATATATATATCCAGTTTCGGGCCAATCTGAGGTAACTAACTGATCAAACGTGCTTCTATACTTCAGTAAGAATGAGCCATAAAATGATATCCCATTATCCTCTATTTATGCTTCTATTTTCCTATTTTGTAATCTGACAAACTTGTTGCGAAAATAATTTAAATAATTTTGGAAAGATGCCAGTAAGGGAAAGCGCATATGATTTCTCTACTAGCTTTGTATATTTAATTTTGTTTTTAATTCTGAGTTTTCATTTATTTTATTTACTTTCAAATTTTTATTTTCTACTTTTCGCTTGATATGTTTTATTTTGCATTTTTTGCTTAACTTGTTCCATTTTTGCTTCAAATTTTTTTGGTGCTCCCCACACTATTGTATTAATATATTTTGCTGTGGCTATATTGATGCAATATTAGAAACCACGCTTTTTTGCGGATAAAATCGTGTGAGCTGATAACAAAATTATCTTTTCCTAATTTTTTAAAAATTTTTGAATATTTTTAAAACTATTCTATTATATATATATTTACAAATATCAGTAAGTCAAAATGTTATAAAAAATTACTAATTTCTCAACTTTTACAGAGGGCAAAAAAGACCAAGGTCAGTATTATTTCTTATGTTGAACTTCCCATCTCATTATTAATTTATGAGCTTGTGACATAAAAAATTTAAATTACAACTTTGTTCTCATTTTGTAATTTTTCAATCATTTTACAGTGACAATATTATGCATTCATTTGCTGAAAATTTAAAATCATTTTATGTCGCTTATTAAAAATATAAAATCCATGATTTCAAATTCTTTATCGATTGGATATCTTTTAATGGGTCATTTATTTTTAGTAAGATTAAACAGTAAATGTTTGGTATTGATATTGTTATTAGAATTAACTCCTCTTGTCAATTCGATAAAATAAATTTAAATTTTCGAGCTATTTTTTTGGTGGTTAATAAATCTACCACCGCCTACTCCACCTACTATACCTCTTTATTTATAAAATAAATTTTAGGTTATAAACTGCAAAAATATGTCAAAAACTGTAAAGGAATTGTATTTTAAAACTTCTTCGAAAGAAAGCAAATTTTCCTCTACCATTTTTTTCGACATACTGCAAAAAATTGTCAAAAACTGTAAAGCAATTGTATTTTAAAACTTTTTTTACATTGTTTATGCTGCCATTCTTCGAAAGAAAGCAATTTTTCCTCTACCATCTTTTTTGACAAACTACAATTTTTGTAAGTTTATATTCTCCACAATTGAACAAAGTTTATAATTTCAACAATTGAATAAAGTTTATAATCTCAACAATTGAACAAAGTTTATAATCTCTCCACAATTGATCAAAGTTTATAATCTCTCCACAATTGAACAAAGTTTATAATCTCAACAATTGAACAAAGTTTATAATCTCAACAAGTGATTGTACTAGCAATTTTAAGTAAAAATTAATTACCTAGTTAACTAAATTAGTTAAGTAATATGAATTTTATATATAAAAAGAAAGATCAAACGCTTGTAAAATCAGTATAATTTTTTAACATATTTAGTTAAGTTTACTAAAAATGTATCCGTTTCCAAGGAAGATTTCAATTTAAATATATACCACTGATTACGTTAAATTGTAAAATTTTATTATAATGCATTCTGGTATGATAATTTTTTTTTTGCGCAGTTATAATCAATGATCTTAATTTATTAATGACCGACATCAAAAGTGGCTTACATTTGAAAAACACTGCATATAACTGTAGTACTATAAAATTTGTTTGAATTAAGAGAATGTTGTTTTCATTACCTACCACTTAAAGCTCAGAAGTGATCTTGACTCAGATCAACATACAATTGCTTACTCTCAAGCAAAGTGCTTGTATATATACAGCAACTTCACTGGCTCCTGACCGTAAGAACTCAACATTAACTGAACGTAAATTCACAATGAAGGGGATGAGGACCGCTTCGCGGCCCTGGTGCCCACATAAATTGCACCACTGGGACTAGGACAATTGCTTACTATATTATGATAGACAAAACTATCACGCATTAGAGAAATAGATCTTAATACTTGCCCTATCGCCTTTTGACTTTAAAAAGTTAAAATTAAATAATAATAAATAAATAAACAAAAAAGAAAAATTAGCAAACATCTAAGATTAAACTTTAACCCTTTATGCGATATCACCACATTTATTAGTCTGTACTGATAAAATATCCTCATTTATCTGTCTATACCGATAAAATATTATCAATTATCTCTCACTACTGATAAAATATTATCCTTTTTTTGTTAATACTGGTAAAATATTATAATTCTTCTGTCTCTGCTATTAAAATATTATCATTTATCTGTCTATACTAATAAAAAATTATTTAATTTAGTTGAAAATACAGTTCAAAGTAAGTCTTATTTATTTTAAAATCGAAAAACACGGAAAGTTGTTTAACTTGTTGTTCATAAATAATTTAACTCCTTAACAGTGACATATATTTCAGAAAAATGGAACAAAAAATTGAAATTTTTTTTGACTGTTTAATTTTGTTCTTTATATTATTATAAAAGTTAGAAAAATGTTTTTATTACAAAAATGAAATTTTAAATGCAATTACTGCATTTATAATTTTTACATACACATAAAAAAGTAATGAATTACCCACACATCTCATTCAATTAGAGCAAGTTAAGCAAAATTTCGAAGCTAAATATATTATTACGGGTATGTAATATAAAAACACAACAATATGATATTCAATACATAAATTTTGCAAATCTTTTCCCTCCCTCGACCCACATACTGACCCGCATAACATATACTGGCCCACATAACATTTGGAATTGAAATATGATGGCTCAAAGATATGTAGACGAAATCCAGATTTCCCCAATGTCAAACCACCTCGTCTGTAATGTAATCTTTCATAAACGAGTATAGGTTTCTTTCGAGTACCCCTTTCTCACCTTACCAAAACAAGTGGTGACACACTCCAAACTGGATCAGGACACATCCGCGCTAAATCAACGACACTTTCTTTTAGCAACAGGACAAAGGGTATCAAGCCAAATAATTCGAAATGGGCTTTCTGAGGAATGTAAGGCAAATGATGTGTATTCCGTTGACAGCCAGACACCGTGGGACCAAAAGAAAGTGATCTGTTGATCATCGAGATTAGTTGCAAACTGATTGGAGTCAAGTGCTGTTTACGGATGTGCACCGATCCGATCCAGTTTAGAGTGTGACACCACTTGTTTTGATAAGTTGAGAAAGGGGTACTCGAAAGAAACCTATATTCATTTAGGAAAGAATACATTACAGGCGAGGTGGTTTGATGGTGTGGGCTTGAATTAGCTTAGATGGGCACACCAGCCTGCATATCATTCGAAATCGAAATTTGATGGCTCAAAGATTTGTAGACTAGATCCTGAGACCCCATGTCGTATTTTACGCTGCAACCATAGGAGATTCCGTTCTTTAAATGCTAGATAATGGAAACCTCATACAGTTCGTTTTGTGGGGAACTTCTTACAATACAATACAGCAACGTAGAGTGGCACTATACAGCACATAGAGTGGCCAGTATGATCTCCTGATCTTAATCAAATTGAGCACGCTTGGGATGCACTTCGTGAAGAGTGGAATATTATTTCTCGAAGTCCCATAATCCATTCAAAATAGGTGTGAGGCAGTCTGAGCAGTTCGGAAGGACCACCCTCCATGTTAAACTTCCTATGTCATTTCCATACAGTCAGTTTTTTGCCCTTTACATTTTTCTAATTTTTGCATTGAAACATCATTTAATGTTCATTATTGTATTTCAAATAATTAAATTTCCCATACAATAGTTTTTTTTTCTTCTTTTTTTCTGTTTTGCATTTTGTTGCACCTGTATTTTCCCTTTTATGGCCATATATGACTATCGCGTAAAGGTTTCATCACTTTTCTTGCTTGATACCCGAACTACAAGTTTACCACATAATCCAAAATACATTGACTATATTTAAGCCTTTTACGGGAAATTAAGTTCTGGAGTTAAGTTTATATACAATATAAGTTCGATTAAAAACATTACGAATTTTTAAATGATGAATAAAAACAGTTTTATTTATTTGTTATTCTTGTTGTAATATTAAATTATTTTTGCGATTTTTCCTTTTCCAGGTGTTAATACTGAATGTAAGTAAAGTGCTTAGAATGACATTTTTATTTCAATTTTTGCGTTAGTTTCTTTTTAGTGATAAACGCTGGCCATATTCGGAAAGTTTTAATAAAAAAAACGCTACACATTAAATATCAAAGGTCTTTGTAAATACTTGGTATCAAAAACAGAAATTTCATAAACATGAACAGTTTATGTATTTTTTTCTTAACTCTACGGAAGAAGTTTAGTCAAAAAAAATTTTAGTGAATACATTTATCTGAATTTAAGATATAATAATAAAAGCATTATAACTTAGCTTTTATACATTTAGCAAATTTTAAAATACAATCTACTACACTTAATTGAGTATACAAATAAAAAAATACTGTTGAAGTAATTATTGTAGAAGTGTTATTCCTCTTATTTAATAGCAGCAATTAGAGGTTTTTATTTCGATTTAATAAAATCTTTGTCATGAACTTAAATTATTTACGAATACTAAGTAAAGTGTAGTTTACAACATACAGGAAAGTAGTTATGGTTCGTAAAGTACAACTTATATGCTATAGACTGCTATATAATTTAATATATGTCATTTAGAAATATACTTATTGAATTATTAATGCGAAAAATTAATTCATTCAATTTTTAATGTAAAACAAGAGGATTTTACTTCTATTTAATATTATTTGATAAAGCCTATGCAAATTTTCTGAGTTTAAATTAATGATAAGCATACAGATAAATGTAGTTTATTTATTACAAAAATTATAAGAATGGCTAATAAAGCACAATTTATCTATCAAACACTAACATTTAATTGCGAATAAGGCAGAGAAATATATAATTTTTGAAGGATTATTGTCAAATTTTTGTTCCTCCTATTTTTTCAAGTTAATTAAAGATTTTTACTTCACTTTAAACTGCTTGATAAAACCAATGTAAATAAATTGAACTTTAATTTAAAAGTTTATAGTAAAATGAAGCTTACATTATATAATAATTTTAAATTTAGAAACGAAATGAATATTTCGTAAAAAATATTTTTCTGAACTGTTTTTTATTCGAAAACTGTTATAACTGACATGAAAAAAAAAAGAAACAGGATATACCTATATTAACCATAGCTTGATCTGCAAAAGTCTTATGAATTTTATGAAAGAGAGAAAGGATTGGAAAAGCAGCTTTAAAATCAAAATTTAAAGTTATTTAAAGTTGAATTTGGCCATAAAGATTTTCCTTTACAATGAAACTCATGAATATGAATTGACAACTATTCCAGGGTTGCTAACTACTACGTTTTGTGTAGAATATTTTCTAGAGTGGTGGACGATAAAAACTAAAGCTTTCAAAGCATTAAATTTGTTAACAGTTTAAAAACTGAATTATGAAAGACTTAGATCAAAATGTTTTTTTTTTTGTTGAACATTTAAATCAGTCTCATGTAGTGGTGTGGAAAGAGACTTCAAATCAATTGCCGACAGGCCTGTGTAAGGATCAGGGAATTGGCTTTGCATCAGAAAGGTTTGGGAGTTCGAATCCCGGGCAAGGCTTGGAGGTTCTTTCATTCTCTGTACTATCTGTCCTTATTATGGGAGCAACGTTGGCCTATCTAATACTGTGCCTTTGAAAGAGTACCCTACAAATCTGCCCTTAAGATGCCTGTATGACGAAAGGTAATTCTCCAGATGGGTATTGGAAAGAAAAACAAACTTTAAATCAGTTTTCGTAAACAAATTATCATACGTTAAAACATAAACTTAGATATCTTTCCATAAATTGTGAAGATCACATCCTTGTTGTTCATTATTACCATTTTATACAAAATAATTAGTTCAACCAAATTTCTGAAATATTATCTGCAAACCTGTGAGTAAATATGCATTTGCTACGTTAATGTTGGTTAAAAAATGGATAATAAACTCACTGAAATGTTAGGAATATACGATGACATATTTTCAAAATAATTTTTGCTATACGGCAAAATTAGGACATTTTGCTAATAGCCAGTAGACAGTTAATAGTGGCCATTTTTTTTAAAAAATATGTGGTCACTTTTCAAAAATGGAAAATTGTAAGCTATCTTAAAAGCTGTTGTTATTAATAATTTAAGACAGTTCTATGAAAACGTTTTTCAAAGTATGATAAACATCACAGTGAAGACGTCGTTCATAAAATGAAGAAAACATTTTAAGAAACAAACTTGAAATAAAGTAATCATCAGAATATTCTTCGACACTCAAAGCGATTCCATATTTATTTTAAAAAAATCATAATAGAATGCGTACGGGGTGCAGTCGTGAAAAGAAGAGATCGGGTGCGACTGGCAGACAATTTTTTAAAAGCATTTGTAATGTTTAGTCACCCTATGGCCGGTACAGACTATACTTCGTTGCATGTGAAGAAAATACCATTGCGGTATAGGATTTGAATAATCATCTGCGATTGCATATAGTTCCGTTTTATTTCGCCATCAAATTATAGAAATATGCTTTCAAACAATATACAAACTTAAACAAGTCATACAGAAATGTAGCTATCTTTAACGGTATATACCGTAAAATTATTAAAGATTGGTTATATTTTTGTAATCTTACTGGATTCCTAGACTTAGCGATACAGTTCGATAAATGAGCAGAATATTCATTCTTTAAAAAGAAATAACAATATGAGGCTGTAAGAGCATAATTATATGATCATAAACTTCATTTTACGTTTGCACACCACTAGCAAATAAAATGAGCTATAAGGATATTTTTAGTTTTGTCTCACCGTTGACACAAATCATCAGCAAGACCGGAGAAGCCTGGTCGGTAGGGGGCTGGGCACATGCCCGAAAATACCTGGGTTCGAACCCCGCCGGCCGAAGTAAAGTGACTGATGCACGTTAAATCTGTTGAGTCGCAAAAGTCCTCTATGTTCCCATCACAAATCAAGACCTCTGGGGGTACTGGAATGGAGATCGATCGTTCTCTGATTCAGGTCAAAATTGCGATCTGTGGATGAATGAATGGATGTATGAATGGGTCCGCCCTATAAACGGGTGCGACGTATTGTGTGGCAGAAGTCGAATTCTTGGCCATAGATGGCGCTACTGAAAAACAAGAAACGAACACTCTTAATTAAATTTGCTTGGCTTACACTTAGATGCAATTTGTCTCTCTCCTTAGGGATAATGGTTTTTTCTTAACTTGCAACAGAGTATAGTAATTTTGCCCTACATTTTTTTACAAATATATGTGAAGCAGTTTATTTTTTTCATTAATTATGGTATTGAAATTTTTCTTTACAGTGGACAGCGCTTTGAACGGTAAGTACTTTAGAATTACTGTACCTTAGAATTACTACCCTACCTTTTAATTACTGCCTTACCTTTATTAATTAAAATAATTCTTTGCTCTAATTTTATTTGTCTCTCTTTATAGGCGTCAAAGGCGAAAGTAAGATTAGTATTTCCTATATTACGAAAAAAACTAAACATTTTTATACCGATAAAGTTTGTAATTTTAGCTACTTATAAAAGTCACATAAAAGTTTTAACTGTATCAATCATTAGAAAAATGAGCACAATTGCTTAAAATAGAATTTTTTCTAGTAGTTCTTTTGAAAATTTATCGTAAATAAATACGTTATTGAATTAAAAAATCTTTAAAGAGACAAAATCTTATAGTAGTGCTAGCTTTGTCATCGAATCCCAGCTTCTGGCTGCAGTTATCATTTTCTCATTTGTATATCATCTCTCAACTTGTTTTTTGGATAATGCCATTAACTTTTGGAGAAGATTGTCTCCAGTCTATAAGAAATGGGACTTTTTCTTCAATTCGGCAGCAATGCAAAAGAATGTTATCTGGAATTAGCTTACCAAATATAAATTGAATTTCAGCATATATAAAGAATTCAGAATATCGTATAAATTCCACCCTTTGTAAAAGTACTGTAAAAATTGTTGACACTTGCGAATTTTAGTATATAAATATATCTATCTATCTATCTATATATATATATATATATATATCTATATATCTATATATATATATAGTGGCCGCATCGTCTTTATTCGAGAGGGTGGATTTTCGCTTTGAGAAATTGTAGTCCGCATGCTGTGTAATGCCGCAACAGTCATGCGTGTTTTGAAGAAATGAATATAGGTGAAACAAACGATGCGAAAACCTGGCAGTGGNCAATGTTTATATATATATATATATATATATATATATATTATACGCAGAAACTGAAAAGAAATATTTTTTAAAAATAAGTGCACATATACAGGAGCGCATGCATGAATACATGTTTTTTTATTATGCTTTTGTGGTGCAACTACCACTATAAATATTAAATACCAATTCACCAGTATATATTTATATAATTTATAACTCATATTTATGTTCTTAAAACATTTAAAAAACTATTTTTAACACATTAACCATTTTTTAAAAACTACCGAGTCCTTGGTATCGAATTGAAATATATTACAAATGAAAGTATTATTTAAACTTTTCTCTAAACTTTGTTATTTTCCTTTCAGTTGAAAAGATTTTCCACGGTGAGTTAAAGTTTGTAATTTAACGTTTTTTAACAAGTTGAATGCCACGTTAATAATACATGGCTTGCCATCTGGCCAAATGGTAAATAACTGCAAACTAAATTTGAAAATTTGACAGATTTTGCTAGTTTTTTAAAAGGTTTAGCGCGACATGACTGAAAAAGAGTGCTGAATTATATAAGCCTACGAACTGTTTAGAAATAGGGGTGGATAAAAATCTACTAAATTGAATTTATTAAACCAAGATTCGCAATTAATAAACTACCACTTGAAAATATTTATTCGTCTCCGGAGCAAGTTGGCATCTCTGTGTATATAAATAAAACTATTTTTGTGTGCTCTACATTGCATTAATTTCTTTAAACCATTTTAGTAACGATAATAATGTTAAAAATTTACTCGAATTATGTGTTTCTAATAATCTTGGCTTCGCCGGTCACCGGTGACCCCGTATGGCTCCACGAACAAACTCAGTGTCGGTCACCGGTGACCCCCACGGCATTCAACTTGTTAATAAAACTAACTGAATTTCATTTGTTAAAAATTCTGAGACAGCGCAACGTTTACAACTTTTTCTATTTAGCTGTGCTTTAATTAGTAAATGGATTAACACTTAAATGCCAATAAATTCAATATGGCAATAATATAAGGTAAAAAACAATAAATTTAATTTGAATAGAAAAAAAGCATGAGTATTTTTGTTTGTAGCAGTTGAAAAAATATTTAGGGGGTGATAATTTTTTTACAAGATTAGTGTCTTGCTTAGGTTCGCTGTTTTTTTTTTTTCTGGTACAATCTGCAAAATTAATAAATAGAAACTAAAATATTAGATAATTTAATAGCTTTCATAAAATTAGATATTAAATAGTTTTTTTACTAATTTCAATAATTTAAATTACAATTTTTAAAATATATCTTGAAAATAATAGATAAAAAGATTCATTTAGAACATTTTCGAACAATATTTTACAGTCCTTTACACAAACCGATTAAGATTTGCTTTAGAGCTAAGTGAAACATTTTTTGAATAAGAAGTGTTAGTATAAATCAAAAGAAAAAATTAATAAATAAAATAAAATTAGACTTCCAGAACTTACCGTCGTCTTCATTATTGCCAAATCTCGCTAGTTAAGTAACCTAATTGTTTATAAATCCTTGTAAATGGAGTCCAGGCATCGAAGTTCTGGGCTTCCTCTAGCTCAGCTATTATTGGTTGAGTATTTCATGCGTTGGACTAGTTGCATCAGAGCAGCAAAAGTGTCCTGAGCTGAATAAGCTGAAAATATCATTCTGTACGAATAAATAAAAGAAAACCTTAATAATAAAAATTAACTTTTTAGTAAAATGTTACGAAAATCATAACTTACCTTACTAATAAAAAATTCCACATATAAAAACATTCGATACCTACTAATACTTCGATTAACTAATGATACAATTTCTTTAATTCTGTTTTGCTAATACAATTGTTTTATCATACAAATTATAAATTAAAAACATGAAATTATCTATGCTAACAGTTTAATTCATAAAAAGGGAATTTAGTGCAGAAGAAACAATTCTGATTCTCGTGATCAACCTAAAATAATGACGTCAAATCACATGGTATGAAGAAAGCTACGTCTTATTTCCAATTAGGAGACACTGTTAAATTTGAATCAGTAAAATCTGAAATTCTTTACTAGAATAAAAATATGTTAGTAACCTTTTTTTAATGTATTTCTTTATTTTAATTGCAGCTGCCAAGAAAGGAGGTAAGTTACAAAAATAATTAGTTTAAATAACATACATCTTATTTCAATACTTTTTTTTGGCAATGCAGTTTTGAAACACAGATATTTGTTCTAAACTATTTATACAAGTGATCTCATATTTATACGTTATTTTTCTTGAAACTTCGTCGAAAACCTTATTTATTTTTTTACATTTCAGTGTACTATATTTTATTATGATTTTAAATAGGAAACTTTATTCTAATATTTTTTTTTGTAGTTACGTGAGATCATTCACAGAACTGCAATGTTATAAATCAATATTTTTTAAATAAATTACAAAAAAAAAAATATCTTTTTCTAATTCATTGTACATTTATTTTGCTGTAATTATTAACCTCAAACTTAGCACATTAAAGATTTTTTTTTTCAGGATTTAAAGAAAATCGCTTTCTATCAAAACAACTCCATTTTGAGATAAACCAATATGAAATAATATTTTTTATAGTTTATTTTATAAACTATTGAAACAGGAAAGCTATTATATTTAAGTTCAAAATGAAGAATAAAACAAAGAAAAATAATAGACATATGAAAGGAAAAGAAAGGGGGGGGAATAATAAGTAGAAAAATAACAAACAGCAGTTNGGAAATAATAAGTAAAAAAATAAACAACAGTTTAAAAAAAAAAGGATGAAATTTTATTTAAAAAACCGGAAAAAAAGACATAATCTTTTCACCAGCCCACACGATTATATCCGCAAAACAGAGTGCTTTCTGATATTGTATCAATAAAGCCAAAGCAAAATATATTAATACAATAGTGTGAGGAGCACTCAAAAAATTTTTTTATAAAAATTGCAAATAAAATAGATCACAAAAAGTAAAAATAACATGTAAAAACAGAAAATAAACTAAAATAAAAAGAAAAAACATTAAAAAGGGACTATAAAGCGAGTAGCAAAATCAGATCAACTTACATGGACGGAAAATTTTTCAAGAATGATTTAAAAATGTTTTCGCAGAAAGATTGCCAGATTACAAAATATGGAAACAAAAGCGCAAATTGAGTGTAACAAGGGGTTTTTAAAGTCTCGTTCTTACTGCACTCAAGGATGATTTGTTATTCTGAATTTNAGATAGATAGATAGATAGATAGATAGATAGATAGATAGATAGATAGATAGATAGATAGATAGATAGATAGATAGATAGATAGATAGATAGATAGATAGATAGATAGATAGATAGATAGATAGATAGATAGATAGATAAATAGATAGATAGATAGATAGATAGATACACACTAATGGACAAAAAAATTAGCACACCAATAAATAGTTGTGCTCACACATCGACGCCTAAGCTTGGAATTTTGCCGCGCACGAGGAAACTGGACTGCAGCGGAACCAGGTCATCTTTAACGAAGAATCCAGATTCAATCTCAGCAATGATGACAATCGTGTTCGTGAGTGGAGATCCCGTGATGAACGCCTCAATCCTATCTTTGCTGTACAGCGACACACCGCTCCCACTGCTGGTGTGATGGTATGGGGTGCCATTGCCTACAATACACGGTGACCCCTAGTATTGTTCCGTGGCACCATGACAGCCCAGCGGTAAGTTCATGAAATCCTGCAATCACATGTGTTGCCAGTCATGCAACGGCTCCCAGGAGCATTTTTTCAACAAGACAATGCACGGCCTCATGCGTCAAGGGTGTCACAAGACTGTCTCCGTACTGTTACTACCCATCCTTGGCCCGCCCGATCCCCAGATTTGTCTCCAATCGAGCATATTTGGGACTGCGAGTTGGGCATCCCACGAGTTTGAACGAACTAAAGGCAAGGTTACAGCAAATATGGAACGAAATGTCTCAAGACATCATACAGAACTTGTATGCCTCAATGCCCGATCGTATCGCATCGTGCATTCGCGCTTGAGGGAGTCCAACAGGGTATTAACTCCTCCGTTCTTTTGCCTTTTTCTCTGAAATAAATTATTCTTTTTCTTTGATTTTCTAATTATTTACTTATATCAAAGTAGTCATTACGCATGTAAAATTTCGTTTCATTTTGACGACTCCTTCTTGGTGAGCTAATTTTTTTGTCCATGAGTGTATATATTATTTTTAGTATAAAAAGTTGTAATTTATGAATATTAAAAAGCACGAACAAATATTTTTTTTTTAAAATGTGAAGCTAGCAACTTAGCATATCAATATAAAAAAATTTATAACACAATTTTGAATGCGTGATTTTATTCCTTTTAGCTAAAAAAGGTAATTTTTATTTGTATTCTATATGTATTTAAAATATTAGAACCAATCTGAGTGCAATTTACGCGTTGTCATGACGTACATATGTTTTAGATACGCGAGAACAGACTTGTTAAATGCATATTGAAAACAAAAATAACTAAAAATAAAACATTGAATCTAATCCTTGTAAAGACTAAGACCCTTATGCAAGTTAAACAGAATTCGATATAGTTACTAGTTTCTACTTGAATGATTTAAATATTTGCAATTCAACTGAAACATTTCGAATGCTTATTTGTTGAGTGTCAAATACGACAATTTCACCTTAACGGGTAAATTCCCACTTTCTCTCTTTTACAAAGAGAAAGAAATTCCAGTAAAATTACGACACTGGGTGGTAATGACATTTCTGGTTAAACAAAAACCAAGTAATTTTAGTACGAAAACAAAACATACGGTATTTAAACTATTAATGTTTCGTTCACACGGTAGCGGTTTTCCGAAAATTTTGTTTTTGAAAATTATAGTTCTTATTATCACATGATAAAATTACCAAACTTTACCAAATTTTATCATATATTATAAGGCCGTATTTCATTGTTAATTTTATCAAAATATTCATCATAACACTTCATTAAAAATTACCTAGCTTTTCGGTGTTCCCACAGAGCCAGATACAGGGTTTCACCATATTCTTTTAGTTTTTACCATATTCTAAGTGTAATTAGTGTCCCTTTAGCAGACTGTTGTAGAGGACTGCTGAAATAGGATTTGTATTAGAAATTATTAAAGCATTCCGTGTTGTCATGAAAATATTATGCTACTAGATACTAATTTCAATGTAATATATATATA